AATTTACTAGATGACATTAAGGTGAATTTCCTTGGAAACACACTTCAGAGCAAAGAGATCCAGCAGAACTTATAACTAAATTGGTAGCAAATCAAAGTAAACAACTGACACATAGTAAGTCCTGAATAAATCATTAATAATTCACTATTATAGGCTCGGCACCTATAGCTCAACCGGCTAAGGCACCAGCCACGTACACCTAAGGTGGCGGGTTCGAATCCCCAGCCCAGACCGCCAAACAACAATGACAGCTGCAACCAAAAATAGCCGGGCATTGTGGCGGGTGCCTGTGGTCCCAGCTGCTTGGGAGGCAGAGGCAGGAGACTCGCTTGAGCCCAGGAGTTGGAGGTTGCTGTGAGCTATAATGCCACGGCACTCTACCCAGGGGGATAGCTTGAGGCTTTGTCTCAAAAAAAAAAAAAAAAAAAATTCACTATTATCACCATGCCTAATAAAATCATCCCCAGCAACTAAGCCACATTCTCTGGGCTCTAGATTCATCCACTAAGCAAAAATTTTTAATGGGAATGGTGATTAAGGAAGGGATGAAATCAAAATACTCTGACACTAAAAACCATCTATTTGCAGGGATGCTTCTGAGATTTGAAGGTGATTTCACAGTAATTTAATAAAATAGAATATTAACTCAGGGAAGAAACAGGAACATGTATCAAAAGAGTCAATGTTACCTCTTGGCACATTCCACCATTTATTTACCTACATGAGTTAGATGAGCCTATCTAAAGCTAGATCCGACTTGAATTTCTGGCTAAGTGTTCTGAGTGTTTTTTAAAAAAGAATCTCCATTTGAATATACCTCCTACAGAAATTCAAATACAAAATGAGCTCTGGAGAATACCGCACATATATTCTGCACATTAGGCAAGAAGTGAGGCGGGTGAACCTGCTTGGAGGAGTAGATGATATAATTTTCCTCCTGTTCAATGGCCCTTCCTCTTTATTCTCGCAAAGATTTGACCTTTGCCACATGCACAGTCCCGATCCTGCCACTCGGGGATATGGATGTCATCCAGGGAAGCTGCCAATGCCTTTGGTAATAACATCTCTTTAAATGTAAGTGATCTTTTCTTTTGAACGTTGTGGATTAGGACGGGTGCATGTTGAATTAGATTATTATGACTTCTTTAAAACCTTTAATATTTCAATTATTTATGATCAATAGAACTTTTCATCATTTCTCTCTTCTGCCTGTTTATGATAGCCAGGCTGCTTTTGAAGATATGTGTAGCATAGATGAAGCTGAAATGTAGATGTCTTGTCAACAACACCAAAGAAAACATGTTCCACTCTAACAGATAACCTCAAAAGCAACGGTGTTTCTTGTAACAATCATGAGCTTTGCCAGCTTTGCTTTATAGGCAAGGAAATAACATTTTAAAAATATAACTTAGAATGGTTTTCCTGAAGCCAGAGTATGTTAATTAGTCATTTTACATACTCACGTATGCATGTTCATGGTTTTATTGAGCCCTGTTTGAATTTTGAGATACAAAGTAGATTAGATAATCTGTTGAGCAAGGGACAAATTCCAGGTCCTGGTTCACACAGTCTTTTATTCTAGCACGAAATTTGTCTCAAAATGTGAGGTTTCCAATTATTTTTTGTTTCGAAATTTTCATTAGTTTCTCGTTTGTTGGTTATGAACAAGGGGGCTGCTCTTTTTAACTTCGAGTGTTTTAAAGGGAAAATTATATCCCTGTTGACACAAAGTCATATGCTCAGAAGAAGCAGTCTTTGGGGAGAAAGAAACAATCAGACAAATAAAAAGATAACTAACATTGTAACAGCAAATGTGTTTTGACTTATAGCATTGAAAGGAAAACCTAATCATTTCCAAAGATAGGATGAAGTCAAGGATTTATGTTCAACCAGGCATTTTCAGTCATCTTCACAATCAAATGCGCAGTCATTAAATGGTGATATCAATATGATAAGATTCTTGGACCAACATATCAAAAATACCACTGGCCTTCCAAAAGAGTGTTCTTTAATACACATTTGCTCCAGATCCCTTCTGGCTCTAATAACATCTAGTTTTATGGAAAACATTTCTTAAGAGTAGGAGCTACCATTTGGTATCTTTTAGGGCCAAACAAGTTTTATTTCACTTAAATTAATTTCAATGTGAATATTTAAATATACAGTTAGAATATTATGTTATATATTCTAGCATTTATTAATATAGTAATATATAATTTTCAATAATACATTGAATACTTACTAAAATAGCAAGCTTATATAGAAAGGGTTGAACGTCACTCTTAAAAACACTGTAGAAAAGTTTAGCTTCATTTCCTTAATATAGCTTTGTTTCTGAGCAAGCAAAAGAATTAGAAAAATTCTCCAGATTATTCAGGCAAGCCTCAAAGTTGAGGAAGAAATATGAGAAATCAATGATACAGAAATTCTTTCAAGAAGTGATTTGTAAAGACCTGAGTTGAACTATATTTTTGGTATTTCTGCATGAAATCATGGTAACAAATTAATGTTCGTAATAACAACAGCAACATTTTGCTTTCTAGAACTCTATGAAAAGCCTGTGAATGTTTTTTTAGAAAAGAATGCAAAAGCAGGAGAGATTCCAGGCAAGTCCACACACCTATGCTGTCATACTGTCAATCAGAGCAAAGCATGATAGGGTCTTTTCATCAAGGCTGAATGAGTGTGGAATGATATATAACTTCTCCCTGTACCAACAAGCTGAATGTCTCCTTTCACCCTGCATTTGGTTAATTGGCATGAAATTCCCCACTCCACTGGAACAGCTCTTAGGATTTGAACAAATGATAAATACCTTTGTTTTTGAAAGAATGTGAGGATGAGTCTAAACTAATTGAACCGAAACTCCTCCATTATGCTGGGTAACAACTTAATTTCCCCTATTCTTCTTCTTAGTGTTGTGAGATGAAAAAGATTCAGTCAAGGCTAAAGCTCCATAGGCATACAAAGTGAAGCAGAAAATTAAGGCACATGTGCCTCCATTATCTGGTATTTCATTCACAAGGGGGTTAGAGCCAAATTGTCATTATCTCTTCAGGCCCACATTCAAACCTCATTTAAGACAGTGGTTGAATTGTTTGTGGGTCAGCACCCACAGCAGCTGCTGCCTAAGTTGACAGAGGCCCAAATCCCTTTGCTGTTCCCATCACTTTCCCTATAACCCTGCTGGTTTCTAACTTTCCGACTCCAGGACTCAGGGCTGCCTCATCTTCTCCATGAAGTTACCATCACGCCCATCCCTACACTCTACGTAGTAGATAGACACCAGTACTTTCATACAAGAAATTTCATTTGATTCTCATAATTATGCTGTAGGGTTAGAAAGGAAAATACTATTATCTCTGATTTCCTCCATTAGGCTCTTAAGTTCTACTTCCTGTCTGGCACACTGGTTTGGAAATATTGCTAAATCCTCCCAACAGTGACAGACACTCAGTAGAAACATGAAAGATTCAGTCCGACTGGTTCTTTGGCATCGTGTAGACCACTATTTCCCAACCTGCAAGTGCATGGTGGCATTTGATGTGTCAGGGAGACGCCTTGGGTGTGTGCCTCCATCTAAGGTTTCCTCATTTTCATAAACTTCCTGTTTCTCATCTCTCTAGCTTCTAACTGTCACTGTAAGCATATCTCACTCTTCATCCTGATGTCAAAAGCAAAAGTTCAAGAGTTCCTAATCAGTAAGGAGTCCCTGGGAGCAGGTAAAGCTCACCTAACTAGGTAAGATGGAGACTGATCACCATTGGGGTGGCAGCCAGGTATAAGAGCTCTAGTGAGGGTGCCCATTCCAGATCTGTCACCTGTTGGCTTTGTGACCTTGAAAAAGTCTTAAATTGCTCTAAGAACCTTTGTTTTATTGTTAATTAAACAAGGATAATGATAGTACCAATTTCATGGAATATTTTGAAGTTTACATAACATACACGAACTATTTAGGGCAATGCCTTGCATAAAGTAAACATTCAGTAGATATAAGCTATTACTGCTTTCATACAATTTTTTAAATGATATAATACTTACAGATATAAAATTATTTTCAACCAGATAAGAAACGTATGGTAATCTACTTAGCTTCAAAGGAAACTGTATTTCTAAAAGCCGGAGATTAGTTTGTTAAAGTAAAGCTTCTCTGATATTATTCTCTTGGGTATTCTTAAAATAAAAAAAGTAGTGAGAGCATGTAGTAAGAATTTACACTGTGCTGAGTGTGTTATATATGTCACTTAATCCTCACTATTTCCCTATGTGCTAGATTACACTTTATCCTAATTTTACTAACAAGGAACAGAGAGACAAAGCTACTAACTACATTGCCCGAGGTCAGACATCTTTCGTGGTGAGGCTAGACTTCAAGTTCAGGCCATTTGGCTGCAGCGTTCATGTGGTGAGCGTGCTGTTATGGTGTCAGCTGGCCTTGGAAGAGACACGCTTTAAACCACGGCAAGGAGGTAAGACTGAGCATTGAAATGTGCAAAATTTGTCTGTGGATGTCCACATGAGAAATGGTCACAACACTAGAAACTGATCATAAGCTTGCTTGTTTGGTTAAAGCTTCATTTGTTCATTGTTCTTGTTTGCTTTGTGGGATGCTGGGCTGGACTAGGGGATAACTCTACTTTTCACTTTGCCGTGGTATAGAAACTTGTCCTCTGAAGCCTTAGGTATTCTAAGGCAACTCACAGGTGAACAAAGACTTACAAGAATTGAACTTTGATTAAAATAAGACCAAAAAAACTTCAATCTTGGTTAAATTCATGTCATTTTCAGAATTAGACTATGTCAGGACAATGTTTATGTGAAAAAATAGAGTACTAGCATTCCAAGTTAGTTCCTTGTATTTATTCCCTTTCATACATTACCGGCTTTCTTGTGGTGTTATTCAGGTTCTCGTCAGGGCACCATTTATTTTCATTCCATTAATCAACGTTGAGAGATAAAGTTAATCTATGGATATTGAATGTTTCATGCCAGGCCTTTCTATGATGTGGCTGTTTTTTACAACAACCTGTTTGATTTGTGGGACTTTAAATGCTGCTGGAATCTTTGAATTGGAAAATAAAGTAAATCCTGAAGTGTGGATGAATATTGTAAGTAATGGAAGATTTCAAAGATTATCAAAGGAAGCCAGATTAATCAGTTGTCAGATCCAAGGTCTTATTGTAACAGAAAATCTCTGATAAGAAAACATGTAAAATGCAGATGGATTTTAACATCTCTACAAGAGTCAAGCTACATAGATTTGTTCCTTTGGCTGAATAACTAATATTTTCTAGTAATGAAGACCAGAATTGTGTTTTAAAGAAACAGAGGGTGCCCAAAAAAGGTATACACATTTTAAGAAAGGAAAATACTATATTAAAATGGTAATACTTAATGTATACCAATAGCATTGGTCGTTTTGTATATTGTATCTGGTAATTGCAAAAATCAAACATGACTTGAGTGTGTGAGTGTATGTGCATGTATATACACACACACATATATTGAAAACCTCCTCTTTTGAATTGATATTTTAAGACTATTAGACCATTTGTATGATAGATGTGACTGCCTTCTACTGGTCTATAGTTTTCTTATCTTTAAACCAAGAGAAACTTGCAAAGACATTTGACTTGAGAATATAGCTTTGTCAGAAAGAATGTGTCAATGCTAAATTTTCTTGCTACACTCCAAACTATTTGCTGATAGTTTGAAAATAGTAGATATTTTTTTAATACTCTGCTTCTTTTTAATCCAAACTTTATGTAGTAAACTAATTTTACAATTACCTGGAGTACAGTCTTCAGATAATTCACCCTGATAAGCACACACTAGGTGCCCTCTTTTCATTTCTTTTGATATTCTTAGAGAAAAAGTCCAGCTAATGACTGTATTTTCACTGGGCAGAGTGAAATCATCACCTACAATGGCTACCCCAGTGAAGAGTATGAAGTCACCACTGAAGATGGATACATACTACTTGTCAACAGAATCCCCTACGGGCAAAGACATGCCAGAAGCACAGGTACAAGATGACTCTCCTGAGAAGGAGGACTGTGTGTGACAGAAATATAGTGCTGGATAGTCATTAAGAGTGTGACTAGTTTATAAAACTTGCTTTGATTTATATTGGGTTAGTCTACAAGTGGTTCACAGGGAAGCGTACACTTTTCCTGAGAATTCTCTAAAGACGGGCGAGAACCTGAATGTACGAAGGGCAAAACTGATCTCGCTGACTACAACCAGGCTTGCTTGTTGGAGTATAAATGGAAAGGTGGATCCTAGATTTTGTTAGCTCATTACTGATTTCTGATGTGGAAAATTGCTACGTCCCAGGAAAGTAGATCTCTTCACTGTTGGAAGAAGACTTGCTAGATTGTATGAAGTTGACCATGGGGCATCCCCCAAATGCCTCCCCTGCTTCCACTAAAATGGAGGAGTCCATCTCTGTAGGATAAAAAAGTCAAGTTAAATGACAGTAACATTTGTGAAACATTTTCAGAGTATAAAACCTTAACATCCACGGAGACCTTAAGCTAAGAGTTTATGGAAAGAAAGAGCCTGGTGTTTATAAGGCCTGAATTCTAGAGTGAGGAGCCAGCCATGCAAAAGCAGGGGAATGATAGTTTTTCAAAGAGGAAATGTTAAGTGTAAAGCCTCGGAGAAGAGAAATAAAAGAACAAGCAAAATACGTGTAAAGACTCAAAGGCAAATCGTTCACTGCGAGTTGCTTATCATGCTCTCTCCCTAGCTTCTCTCCCACCATCCATGTGCAGTAGCAGATAAAGCCGTGTTCTTCAACATTCCTCCCCTCTAAGAGAGAAATTTCTAATCAAAAGTTTCAAAATGAAAAGTGAGAGTAGAACGTGGCTAGTTTCACCAGTTAAAATATGGAACATCCAGTTAAATTTGAATATTAGATAAATAGCAAGTTTTTCAAAGTATAAATCTCATTTTAAGATATGCTAAAAATATTGTTTACCTTAAATTCAGGTTTCATAGGGCACATCAGATATTTTGTATATTCCTGTTTCTATTTTTTGCTAAGTCTGGTAATCCCAACAGCAGAGGAGAGGAAATATAAAAGGAGAAAAATTTTATGGGAAAGGTTTGCTTAAGGAGAGAGAATTCTGGGAAGATTTAGAATTAAAAACCATTCAATAGACATATTGTTCTACATATTTTGAGTCAGTTAAACCTCCCAGTGACACTCTAAGGTGGTTACCATTAGTAGTTACTGTCTTACAGATGATGACACTGAGAAACAACAGGTTACATTACAGGCTCAAAGTGACAAAACATGGCAAGTGACAGAACCAGAATTTAAATCCAGGAACCCTGGCTCTGGAGCCTGGGCTCTTAGTCATTAAATTATAGTGCCTTTTCCGAACCTTCAACCCTGGCTCTTCCCATCTCTCTGAATTCTCTCTCCCTCTGGAATCTGGGAGTTGGCAGAGGGACACTGAGCTGTTTATGCTGCTATAATTTTCTTATTCTCCCCACTGATCAGGGGCCAGGGGGTTGGATGGAAGTTTGGGGAGAACTAATCAGTGTCCATTTACACTCACCTCCTCTGCCTCCCTGGAAGAGTTATAGGACTCAGTAACACGATAAATCCCACATCTTTGCATGCCACAATGATGAAATGTCTATAAACACACAGAGCACAGCAGCTACAAGCTTTCCCGTGGGACAAAACTGGGTTTGAGTCTCTGCTCTGTAACATGCTTGGGTGACCCTCTCAAAAAGTTACTTGACTCCATGAAGGCTTGGTTTCCACATTTGTGAAATTTGAGCATTCTCAAAATAGCAGCGACTTTATAGAGTTATTGTAAGAATTTATAGTAACTTGGTTTCCACATCTGTCCTTTGAACATTCTCAAAATAGCAGCTATGTTACAGAGTTCTTGTAAGAATTTAAAAGGTTAAAACGTGAATCAGTCACATAGCACAAGCTACAAAGTATTGCATGTGCTCAAGAAACTGAAGTTATATGATATCAAGCTCTACACTAGTGACAGGGAGACGTGACTACTGTTTTTCACACTGTGTGTATGTGTGTGTGTGTGTGTTGCTACAATGTTTCTGAAATACTCTATTTATCATACATTTCTCTCTGTCTCTCGCTCTCTCTCCACCCCTTCGCCCAGTTCCCCGGCCAGTTGTGTACATGCAGCACGCCCTGTTTGCAGACAATGCCTACTGGCTTGAGAATTTTGCCAATGGAAGCCTTGGATTCCTTCTAGCAGATGCAGGTTACGATGTATGGATGGGAAACAGTCGAGGGAACACTTGGTCGAGAAGACACATAACACTCTCAGAGACCGAAGAGGAATTCTGGGCCTTTAGGTAAACTGTAGCTAAGGATTGAAGAGGAAAATTGCAGACAATTTTTTTTTAAAATATAATAATGTGAATGATATTCATGATCATCTTTGACACTTGAAGTCCCTAGCTCCTTGTAATTTCTGCTAACATCCAAAAGACAGAAACAGTAGGAAGCTTGGATTTTTCACCAGTCCCACACAGGCAAATGATGACTTTTCAAGCAGACCATCTTTACGTCCAATTCTATATAATATTATACATGGTAGATATGTACCAGAGGACAGCTCAGGAAATTCCCATGACCAGCACATGCATTCATTCAGCCAGTGTTTGATGCCTACTGTATGCAATGTCCTAGGCCCTAAACATCCAAACAGTGGATCAAAGATCACTGACCAGATCAAATCCCTGACCTCACAAAGCTTTATTCGTTCTAGGGATCATTGTGCAAGTCTTTTCTCCTGGATAGCCAATCAATGTTGCAAAGATTATGTGTGTAACTACTGTATATACTTAGAGACATTGTGTTTGAGATTGTACATAATGCTATTTTCAGGGAAACTCCAATATGACATATTTAAAAGAATCTTTTGACAAGTTGACTGTTGCTTTAATCATAATGTTTTCTGATGTTATCAGTAGACAGACCGATGCCTCTGATAGACTTCCTTTCCTTGGGTCTAAGCTCCCTGCAGGTGTTCAAGCCTCCTGCTAGAACAGAGTGTGCATTCCTATCACATTAATAAAATATTCAACACCCACTGAAAGGCTAAGAAGAGAAAAGGGACAGATAATTCAATGGAGTCAGAGCTCTCAGGCAGGGGCAAGTATTAGGAAATATTTGTGGCACAAGTCCTTGACTGCAAGCTTTCTTACTTGTAAGGCATAAAAACATTTTATCTCTTGTACTTGGGAGAACCAATATCCCTCATATATTCTTTTAACCAACAGGCCTGTAGCTCATAGGGTACCTGATTTGACTAAATGTTATATAGGCCTTTTGATCTCCTATATTAATGCTGGAAACCAATACTGTAGGTATGGGCATATATTGAATAGATATCCACATGGACAGAAATATTAATCATAGCAACATTTCATTGAGTGCCTACTAGTAGACGGAATCATGTCTTTAATACTATCCAACTCCTATAGCAGCCCTGTAAATCACAGAGCATTTAAGTAATTTATCAAAAGGTGCTCAGCTCACAAATGGTGGAGTCATGATTTACAAAATCATCTTACCAAAGATGAGTATTCAATGGCCCTGAGAGCTGTGAAGTCCTCCGAGGAAGTCAGGAGTGGAAACATGAGAACGATACTGAGAAATGGAAGAGAAGCAGGAGAAGGGGATAAAGGAGGGGCAATCAGACTGAACCTCAGGAAGCATACACAAGTGTTGAAACTGTTCCTGTTACTAAGAAAAAAATGTATATTTGCAAAGAAACAAAAAGCTACAACAGCCCAGATTTAATTGGCTGCATAATGAAATACACACTTAGTAAGTAGATGTGCAGAATTCTGCGTGTAAGAAGTGAGCAAGTGCTCTGAGTTGTAAACTTATATTTGCAAGTATTTATAAACCCCTGTTTTATTTTGCAGTTTTGATGAAATGGCCAAATACGATCTCCCAGGAATAGTAGATTTCATTGTAAATAAAACTGGTCAGGAGAAGTTGTATTTTATCGGACATTCCCTTGGCACTACAATAGGTACGTTCACGAGGATCAATGTTGTGAGTCTTACAGGAGTCTACCTTTACAACGGAACAGGAGAACTACTGTTTATCGTGCCCTTAATTCTCTGCCCTGTACTTTGATGAATCCTCAGTGGCTGTGAACCTGCAGCCCAGGGACTGTATACACAGATAGGCAAACCTTTCCTCTATGTCTGGTAGGCGTGGCCCATTTGTAATGGTGATATGATTTCCCAGGAATAAGTATATGTCCCAAATCAAAAGAAGTAATTCTAAAGAGTAAGTGTCCAGATTCCCTCTGAGATGAATAAGTACAGCTGTGAAATATCCTTGAAGAATGGTAAATATACAACAGTCATATCTTTCTCACAACCCTAAGGGGATTTTTATTCATATAAATCTTATATTTTTATAAGGGGGAAAATCTTATATTTTTATTTGAACAGAACAAAAAGATATGGTTACATTTGTTTGTGGGTTATAACACAAAAGCTTGCTATAGTAAATCAAGCAAGCTTACCTATTTAGCATATGATTTAATATTTATGAAACAGCAATTAATTGAATTAATTATAGACACTAGATAGAATTTTTTTTAATTTTTTACATTCACAACTTACTTCTTAATGATTATCTAGATATTTTGCAAAGAAATCATTATCTGATGGCAAGAAACCCACGCTAAAAAAAAATTGAAATTCTACTGAAGTTCCTAATTTTAAGAGAAAAACTGATATGAAAATGTAGTATTTTAGACAGGGTAAAACTGTGCAAGAAATAAAAAATATCCTTACAATATTTTCATTGTCACCAACATTATCAACCACAAACATATATTGGTGAGTACTTTATATTGATAAGCAGTTTACACGCTTGGAATAGACAGTGAGCCTCAAAGAGCACTTATTAAAAAAGGATCAAGGAACTAATAGGAGACCCAAAAATGCCCTAAAAAACACATAATTATACTACAGAATATACCACTTACTGAAGGTTCATCATGTATAGGGAACCATGTTTAGGAACTTTCTCCCTCTCATCTCCAGAACGTTCCCACTACACAGATTATTGTCTCCATCTTGTAGAAGAGGAAACGGGTTCAAACCAGGCTAGTTTGACTTCACTGCGGGGCATGTGAGCACATGGAGAAACTATGGAGAAGGAATGACTTGAGTGGGGTCTGGGAAAGTAGGCCGTGCTTAGACATGCTCTTATATCTGCTCTGCAAAGAACCTTGGACAGAGTGATCTTTGTTACATGGGAAGCACCCATGGTTTGGAGGATGTTTAGCTACTTGGCTCCAGCACACTGCATGTCAAGAAGGCTCTCCAGCCAGTGTGACCACCACAACACTCACTCGCCACCCATTTCCAAACATTCTTTGGGGAGAACTGGGCCTGGTTCAAAGTCTTTGTATCAGCTACTCAGTCAATTATTTCAGTTCCTTTTTTTCTGGTTCAGATAGTTTAAACATTTCAAGAAGCATTTCAGTACACACACACACAGCATGGAGGCCCAGACCAGCACAGCAATCCCAGGAAACCAAAATACACAGATGCTTCTCACAGCCTGTCCAGCATTACACCGATCTCCACCTTCACAGCACTGTCAAAGGGGGTGGTACTACTATTCAAAGGGCAGAGAAAATGGAGGTGGCTGCTCCTTACTGAGACCACAGTGGACCCAGGAAAAACCCTTGCTTCTTGGAAGTAAGGCAGAGTGGGAGTTGGTAGGCACGCCTGGAGGCACTGGGAACGAGAAAATTTCATTCCATTGTGAGAAAGAAAATCTGTGGAATGATGGGATAATATTGTGCAAAGAAATTAATTTATCTCCCATGAGCTGGTTATTTACTTCTGGAACTTCTGTGACTCCTTCTGGCCTCTCAGAGTTGAGGGTGAAATGAGAATATTGCCAGCATGTACTCCATGCTTGGGAAGTGAGGTTGCCTTCAGTTCACCCGGTGGTAACAGCTCCATTTCCACCAGCCAGCTAAGTTTCCACCACTAGAATAAGAGAAAAGTGAGGACTTGGGAGGAGAGAGGACTAAAGACCAGATTATCTCTGCAGAATAACTCAGAAGAATTTTCCAAATCATCCGCAAGATCATTACAGTAAAAGGACAAAAATGACTCAGCAGAGTCCCACTTTTGTTGGTAGAAACGTTGCTTATGTATTTCTCACTTTTACAAGATTGTCTTGTCTCCTGTTCTCTCAGGGTTTGTAGCCTTTTCCACCATCCCTGAACTGGCACAAAGAATCAAAATGAATTTTGCCTTGGGTCCTGTGATCTCATTCAAATATCCCACAGGTGTTTTTACCAGCTTTTTCCTACTTCCAAATTCCGTGATCAAGGTAGGCTCCTCCTTTTCACAAAATTTACCTAAGCCTCTCATTTTGGATCTTAGAGCCTTTTTCTTTTTAAACCTATTGTAAAGTAAAAGTAAGACATGTAGGTAAAATCCCTAGAAATCAGACTGTATGAATATAGGTATGTGCCTGTGTGTGCATGTCTGTATATGGTTTACTATACTCAGTCTTGAACAGAGCTGAGTCCATGTCAGAATTTCCAGCTGAGCTGAGTGGTGTATCAGCATAGTGTCTACTCACAAGTTTTCTTGTTCTGTTTAATTGGGCAGGTAAATGAATTCACAATCCCCAAATGAAAGACACTCTTCAAGTTACCTATGATCACTGATGTGTCCAACTTGGACATTAGATAAGCCTGACTAATACAGTCCTTCCCATAAGGAAGTTTGCTCTAATTTACTAAAACTAAGATTCCAAAGCCTAAATGTCTTACAGTTGAAGTAGTCAAACATTCACTGGTTATGTTGTAAGAGTCAAAAAATTGTTTGATATCAGTTGTGGATTTATAATTTTATCCATTGAAGTGTTGTCTTGGTTTGGTTTTTGCTCTCTGCAAAGGTGATTGCCACAGTGAGTATAGTATTTTTACCAAAATTGCCCTTTGAGTTTGGGGTGATGGATGAAATAGATTTAGGCCAAAATGAAATCAAAGAGACCAGTTAAAATACTATAATAATTCATATGAAAGAAAATGAGGTCCTGGTTTAAGGTGGAGTATTTTTCATTCCACTACCAGATGATCCAGCAATCTCACTAAAGAAAAAAAAATTGTAACTAACACAAGAATCTCCATAGGGCCTAGAGATGGGTTTGATACCCATTTTATTGTATTGTTTACTCTGAGCACAGTGATATAATTCCCCTATTCAAGAACTTCCCTGTTCTACAAGATGTCTCAAAGGTTGCCCATAAGTTGGTCCTATAAAGGGAAAATGGGAAATTGTAGGTAAATGTACCTTCATTTACCAAATATCCCTTACAAAATTTTACAAAATATTTACAAAATACTCTCTGTGTGCTAGCCAACCACCTCTTTGTAAAATTTTGTAAATAAAGATAGATTTACCTACAACTTCTCATTTTCCCTATGTATAGCAACTTTGTGGGTGACTTTTGGGATACCCTGCATTTTAAAATGTGTTGACAACAGTTAGTTTTGATTTCTTATATGTGGGTGGAGTTGAGCAAACTAGTCTGTGAAATTAAATTCAGAGGTGGCTGCACATTTGTAAATATGCTGGTTTTGTATGGGTTGCTCTTGGCTGGTCTATTTCACATGTTCCACTGTCATTGTTCCTGCCACTTTAAGTCCTATCCCCTGTTCCTCCCTGCTATTAGTTGCTCCCAGAAGCTCTAAGACCTCTCCAGAAATGCTATCCATGCTTACTTTCCAAAGTCCTAGAAGTTTTAATCTTGATGCCTTCATGATGTCGTCTCTTCTGTCTGGTGTTACCCTCCCATCGGTTCACTTTAAGTACTAGAAAGCCAATGTAATGTACACATGGAAAACTCTGTTTCCCTTCCTATTCAGGATAATATTTGACTTTAAGAAGAAACTATTCTACCTTCTTACCAATAAATAAGAAGCAAATACCAGCAATCACTTATTGGGCAGAATTCAGGGAAGCTTCAGCATGGAGCAGTAAATTTAGGGTTGAGAGCTCTTACTGCAATCTCCTTGCAAATAATGTTTGATGATCTTTCTCATTTGGAGACAGATTCTTGAGTCACTTTTCCTGAATGATCTGGTCTCCTTAACTGATGCAGCAAATACAAATAATACAAATAGATCCCCAAGTAGGACTCATTCCTGGAATGAAGGGAACGTCATGAAATCTGAAAATGGTTCTTGAAAAAATGATTATTGTTCACTTTTATAGGCTTCTTTTGGTACCAAAGGTGTCGCTTTAGAAGACAAAAAAAAGATACCTTCCACCAAAATCTGCAACAATAAAATACTCTGGCTGATATGTAGTGAATTTTTGTCCTTATGGGCTGGATACAACAAGAAGAATATGAATATGGTATGTATCATAATTATGGGGCCATTTGATACCTGAAGAAATATTAGATTTCCTTTGATTCATTTTATATAGCTATGATATTGTATGAATTTATACGGTATTACAAACCCTTAGAGGCAGTTTGTTTTTTGCTATTTTTTAAAAAATTATTTTATGGATACATAATAGTTGTACATACTCATGGGGTACTTGTGAGATTTTGATGGAAGCATACAATGTGTGAGGATCAAATCAGGGTAACTGGGATAGCCATCACCTCAAGCATTTATCTTTCTCTGTGTTAGGAAGCTTCCAGTTCTACTATTTCAGTTATTTTGAAATATACACTAAATTACAGTTACCTATGGTCGCACTATTGTGCCACCGAACACCAGGTTGTATTTCTTCTAATTGTATTTTTGTGTCCATTGTATCTATGAACCAGCCCCTGTTTATTACCCCCTCCCCAATACCCTTACCAGCCTAAGGTAACCATCATTTTGCTCTCAATCTCATGAGCTCAATTGTTTTCGTTTTTGGAGCCCACATATGAGTGAAAACGTGTGATATTTGCCTTTCTGTGCCTGGTTTATTAATATAATGTCCCACAGTTCCATCCTAGTGGAAGGATGGCAGGATTTCATTCCTTTTTATGGTTGAATAGGATTCCATCATGTGTATGTACCACATCTTCTTTGTCTGTTTATCCACTGATGGACATTTAGGTTGATTCCTTATCTTGGCTGCTGTGAACAGCACCACAGTAAACAAGGGAGTGCAGATAGATAGTCCTTCATATACTTATTTCCTCCTTCGGGGTGTACACTCAGGAGTGAGATGGCTGGATCACATGGTAATGCTATTTTGAGTGTTTTGAAGAACCTCCACTAACAGTGTATGAGGGTTCCCTTTTCTCCACATCTCAGCTAATGTCCATTATTGCTTATCTTTTGGATAAAGATTTTTATTTTTAAAGAGGTGAGATGATTTGAATTTGATTTGCATTTTTCTGATGATTAATTATGTTTACATTATATTATATGCTTGTTGGGCATTTGCATGTCTTCTTTTGAAAAATGTCTATTTTTCCCATTTTTAATCAATTTTTGGTGGGTTTTATTTCTTGTTTTGTTTTTGGTTTTCCTGTTGAGTTGTTTGAGCTCCTTATATATTCTGGTTACCTATCCTTTATCAGCTGGGTAGTCCACAAATATTTTCTCCCACTCGACAAGTTGTCTCTTTCCTTTGTTGACTGTTCCTTTGCTGTGCAGAAGCTTTTTAGTTTGACATGATCCCATTTATCCATTTTTGCTTGGATAGCCTGTGCTTTGGAGGTCCAACTTAGGAAATCTTTGCCTGATTTTATTTTTTTATGTGGTGAGAGACAGGGGTCTAGTTTCATTCGGCTGCATGTGAGTATCCAGTTTTCTCAGCACCATATATGCATTAAAGAGATTGTCCTTTTCCCATGTTCTTGGTGCTTTTGTCGAAATCAAGCTAATTGTAACTGTTTGGATTCATTTCTGAGTTTTCTTTTCTGTTCCAATAGTCCATATGTCTGTTTTTATGCCAGTACTTTTTTTTTCTTTTTTGGTTACTTGTAACTTTGTTGAAAACTTGAAGTCTGATAAGTTGATGGCTCCAGCTTTGTTCTTTTTGCTCAGGATTTTATATTTAGAAAAACCTAAAGAATGCATAAAAGAACTATTAGAAAAAAAAACAAATTCAGTAAATTTGAAGGTTAAAAATTCAACATGCAAAATTCAGTAGCATTTCTATATGCCAACAGCTAATGATCTAAAAAAGAAACCGAGACAGTAATACCATTTATAATAAGCATACATAAAATAAAATACCTTGTAATCAACTTAATCAAAAAAGTGAAATATATCTTCAATGAAAACTATAAAATATTGATGAGAGAAATTGAAGAGGACAAAAAAAGAAGGAAAGCTATTCTACGTTCCTGGATTGAAAGAATCAATATTGTTGAAATGTTCATACTACCAAAATAATATATTGATTCAATGCAATCCCCATTTAAATATCATAGACATTCTTCATAGAATTAGAAAAAAAAATTCTAAAATTTGTATGGAACCATAAAGGCAGATATTCGATATGCCTAGAAAATTAGGTACTCAACAGACCAGGAATGTGAGAACCAGGAAAAGAAATAGGCAGCTTCATCCTTCTCTTCTCTGGTCAAACTTAGGAGAATGGTTGCTCCACAAGGCAGAGTAATTTTTTTACATATTCTCAGTGAGATATAACTTACCGCAGTTAATTTCACTTATTGCATTTGAATACACTGTGTTACAAAATAAATGTATTTAAAGAGAGAGAAACGTGTGCAGACATTGAACTCATTTCACAGGTTCCTTCCTTGATGGCTTTGGTTTCAAATAAAACTCAGCACTTAAACCTCATATGGAAGAGGGCCAGGCAGAATGGAAAAGAGATGCAATCACCTCCTTAGGAAGAAGCACTTAGTGAGAATTCGAGAAGAAGGAGGAGGCGGAGAAAGAGGAGAAGGGGGAGGGAAAAGAGGAGGAGGAGAAGAAAAAATTGTTGCGTGGTGTAGTTGAATAACTAGTTATCTCCTCTGCTATATTCCAAGTGGCAGCCAGTGAGACTATTCCAGGGAAGCAAGTCACAAGTTAACTATTCCCAGCCCAACTCTATTCTTAAGGAAGCTAGATTGTGCTAGACAGAAACCCATGAGGAACGGTTGTTCCAAACCTGCTTGTTCAAAAGTAAAGATTTTTGATAGTTTTTTCTTGGTTAGGTTCATAATTTTTTTTTTTTTTGAGACAAAGTTTTGCTCTGTCACCCCAGCTAGCGGGCTAGAGGGTAAAGCGCTGTCATCATAGTTCAGTATAACCTCAAACTCTTGGGCTCAAGAGGCCCTCTTGCCTTAGCCTCCCAAGCAATAGGGACTACAGGCTTATGCCACCATGCCCAGTTAATTTTTATTATTTTTTCTTTCTTTCTTTTTATTTATTTGTAGAGACAGGGGTCTCACTCTTGCTCAGGCTGATCTTGAACTCCTGACCTCAAGTAATCCTTCTTCCCCAGCCTCTCAGAGTGTTAGGATTACAGACATGAGCCTGTATAATTTTCATATCTAAAATGCTTCCAAAGATTAAAGTAAGCTTTGGAAGGAATTGACTTTTATCATTCCTTTTGCAATATTTTATTTTATCCCCACAAGAGCTGGGCAAGTTGGTAGTGTGATTTTTAGAATGTTCACTTAATAGATGAAAAAATAAATTCAGAGATGTTAGATAACTTGACCAAAGTCATAAAGCAAATCGTTAACAACAAGGGGGCCTGAATTCAGGTCTTCTGGTCTTACCTGTGAAGTGACATGGATGCACAGGCCCACACACCTTACACACAGCACCTTTCCTAGTCAGTCTGCTCTGTGGTGACTCTTCCTGCTGCTTCTTCAAAATAAGCAAGTTATCCTCCATATTCAGAGCTGGTGCAGGTTTGCTCTCAAGCGATTCATCCTGCCAGTCAGTCTCACATTCCAGCACCTAACATAAGTGCCTGTCTATCTAGATGATCCTGCCTCACCATTTTCCAACCCCCAGTAGGCGTTTACTAATTTTAAGCATAAATGTTCTCTGATTCTGAAAGGCATAGTTTGTTTTATTGGGTGATTGTTGCTGTAACGTGGGTTTTATTTCCCTTAGAGTCGAATGGACGTGTATGTGTCACATGCTCCCACTGGAACATCCATGCAGAACATCCTGCACATAAAACAGGTAGGGACTTGGTCTTGGGAAGCCGCACCAATCCTTGTTTTCATTACATATCTGAGGACAGAGTTGACCCTGCTAACGAGACTACCCGAAGAAGCTTAGCAGCTTGCTTCCAATGCGTCCTTGCTGACCTCCTTGTGCTTTGATTTCCCTGGATTTTAAGAGGAAATATTTTATGACACAGATCAAGTGGGTGACATAGATGAACCCCATCTTAAATCAGAACTTGTCAAACAGGCCCTGAATGGAAGGAAGAGAAACATCTGGGATTTAACTTCCTCCTCAGGAAGGGCAACCAGCGCTTCTCTTTCTGCTGGAGCCTATTTTTCATAATAGTAAAAACGTATTTATATCCTTTTGGTAATTTTCTTCCTAGTAGACAGTGTTTCTCTAAGATTTGGTGGAAATTTTCATGATTTTTACCCTGATGATTATTTTTTTTTCAAGTGTTTGTAATTGAAGTCCTTCTTTCACTCAGGTGTGAGTGCCTTCTCTCTCTCTCTTTTTTTTTTTTTTATTAAATGATAGCTGTATACATTAATGCAAACATGGGGTACAGTGTAGTGTTTTCATATACAATTTGAAATACTTTCATCAAGCTGGTTAACATAGATTTCATGTCATTTGCTTAGTCATTGTGTCAAAACATTTATGTTCTAGTTCTAGAAAAGTTCACTTGTACCCTTGTTAGACAGAAATATAGGTGATCTTTCCGGTCACCCTCCCACCACCCAGCCGCCCTTCTCCCCTCCCCTTCCCCACCCGCTTCCCATATTCTTGGGCTAGAATTAAGTTGTATCTTTCATTTGAGAGCTATAAATTAGTTTCAGAAAAGGGCTGTGTACATTGGATACTTTTTCTTCCATTCCTGATGATTATTTTTCTAAACACTATTGCAGCTTTATGGGTCTGATGAATTCAGAGCTTATGACTGGGGAAGTGAAGCCGAGAACATGCATCACTACAATCAGGTGAGCGACTCAGCATGACCCCAAACTAGCAGTTTTGAGAAATTATAATAAGAAATTAAATATTTGAAAGAGAAGAATCCTACTGGGCAATTGCAGGCATTGCACTGACAGAGCTTTTTTAAAAATGTCTAATTTTAATCTGTATTCATTACAGGAAATTTAGATATGAGACAATCATATACAAAGGAAATTTGTAATCCCTCTACCAGAGATAACTAGATATATTAATATCTAGGTATATTTATTCCAGCTTTTTTCAGCATTATACTGCTTTTATACAATTTTTAATCTTGATGTTCATTTACAACTAAAGCAAGAGATAATAAATATTACTGAGGGGCTTTAACACAAGTTTTAATGGCTGCATAATAATGAAAATCATTTCACAAAAATCTTGACAAAAAGAAATGAATACACACTTCTTGATATCAACGGAGAAAGTAGAATCCTACATGAAAGTTTAAAAACTATTATCCATATTGAAGACTTGAGTCTTAAGGCATCTTTTTCCATATAACTTTATACATTGAAATTTATAGACTCATTTATCACTTTTTTATTTCAAATTGATAAGAGGGTACAAATTTTCAGGGTACACTGTTTTTCACTTCTAAGGTAGTTGAGGCCTTCATCCAGAGGGTGTGCTGAACCCCCTCACATTGTGTACATTAGGTGAGATCCCACCAATTGCCCTCCCTCCTTCCCTCTCTTCCCTCTCCTGTCTCCCTCCCCTTGTTAGACTAAACTTGTGTTTTATCCTTTGTGTGGACATGTGGTTGTTTGCATATTGATTTCATATTAGTACTGAGTACATTGGATTTCTTTTTCCATTCTTGAGATACTTTTCTAAGAAGAATGTGTTTCAACTCCATCCGGGTAAACATAAAGGATGTAAAGTCTCCGTCTTTTCTTATGGCTGAACAGTACTCTATGATATACATATGCCACCACCTGTTAATCCTTCCATGAGTTGATGGACATTTGGGTTGCTTCCATAACTTGGCAATTGTGAATTTAGCTGCAGTAAACATTCTAGTTTTCTTTTAATTAATCCTGTCACCACCTTTCTGTTCTCATAGTCAAGGAACTGGATTCTAAATATGAATTAAATTTTTTTTCAGTGTTTTCACAGACTAACATAGTTTGGGTTATTTATTATGCAAACATAGATCAATTAAGTTGTTTCTAAAGATCAAAAAATCAATCAGACCAGTCAGTTTCTCAGTAATTAATTGGATTGTTAGAGGAATGAGCTATCTGCCCTCAAGACAACTACAGGGACTGTACTATGTAAATTTTCTTTTTAAAAATCAATTTGATTAAGATGTGGTTTACATAAAGTAAAATTTACTAATCCCCCCAAAGTTGTCTCCTGCTCCTCAGACTATGTATATATGAATGCATATATTTGTGAGTGTTTAGAAAAGATAAAGGAAATTAAAAAACAATAATTTTTTTTTTGAGACAGAGTCTCACTTTGTTGCCCTTGCTAAAGTACCATGGTGTCACAGCTCACAGCAACCTCCAACTCTTGTGTTTAAGAGATTCTCTTGCCTCAGCCTCCCAAGTAGCTTGGGACTACAGGTGCCTGCCATAATGCCCGGCTATTTTTTTGTTGTAGTTGTCATTGTTGTTTGGAAGGCTTAGGCTGGGTTTGAACCCGCCACCTCTGGTGTATGTGGCTGGCGCCCTAGCTGCTGACCTACAGGCTTTTTTTTGTTCTTGCAGTTGTCATTGCTGTTTTAGCTGGCTGAGGCCAGGTTCGAACCTGCCACCCTTGGTATATGGGGCCGGAGCCCTACCCACTCAGCCACAGGCGCCACCCAAAATAACAATAAATGTCAAAGGGATTAGCTTCAGAGAGGGGAATAAAGGAGAAGGGAAGTGGATGGACATGAGCGACCAGATGAGTCTCATTCTGCACTTTGTATATTTTTGTTTTCTTCTGTTATTTTTAATGTTCTATTTATATATTTTTTACATTCATAAGAAAATGAAACAAAACACACACACACACATATACATACACACAAGACCATTATGGTCATGTTAAAGCATGTGAGAGTGTCAATGCCCTTAGAATTTACTGATGGTTGACTGGTCCTCCCTGCTCTAGGCCACTTCTGAGGGTTTTCTGTTTGTGATTTTACACCATTTGAAGTCAGTTTTTATTATGTTCCCCCAGAGAACCTAATGTCAACAGTTTGCCCGTCCCTCAAGTTCTCAGCACCATCTCTGCTCCCGCTCTCTGTTTCACTGAATATCAGTGGTCCCTGGGTAGGGTTTTCTCACTGTTTCGCTCACCAGTGTTTTCTTACCTGCAGAGTATCTGGCATTTCCTGGACCCTCAATGCCTATTTATTGTATGAATGACATTTTTAAATTTTCTCTTATCTACCTCAAAATGTCTCTGTCTTCCTCTACCAGAAAATAAAGTTCCTCTTACTTTCCAGGTTATCCTAGCCTCGTGCCCTTGGTCCCATCTCTCTTCACTTTCCCTCTTACTGGCTCCTTCTCCTGTTCCTTGTGAAAAACAAGCAAGCAAACCTTCCCTCAACCAATCAATTCTATTTAATCATCATGTTGTCACTGTTCTTATTAACATTTTCAATATCCAAAATGGCTACCCCCCCTTCACTCATTCTTGAACCTTGGAAAATGTAGGTTCAGTCTTTGTATTTCTACACTATTCTGGCTGCTCTATCAAAAGTCACTTGGGGCTTTATATTGCCAATTCCATTTGTCTATTCTGACCTTTTGAAATGTGGCATGTTAGTTACCATCATCTCCTTGCAACTCCCCTAATTTGTGCCTCCACGATGCAGTGATCTCTGATTTTTCCTTCCCTTTGCGATTGCTCTGTTTTCCCCTTGTGCTGGCTACTCTTCCTCCTACCACTCTCAGATGGTCAGCATTCCCACAAGATTCTTTGCAACCCTTTCTTTCTTAGAGAATGTAGACATCCCCACAGCTTCCAGATGGACCATTCATACTCTCACCTAGATTTCTTCAGGACTTACCTTCAACTGGCTTCTTCTTAATCCCACTAGTTGATGCCCTTATAGCTGTTCCAAGACACACCTCTGAAAAATGATCCTGCTTTGTCCCCAGAACGTTTGAAAGAAGTCCAAACTCCTTAGCTTGACATTCATACCTTGACTGTCTGCCTCCAGCCTTACATATTTTGTTGTCCAGGTACACCGGGAAATTTGGCATTCCTGATCGTGGCCTGTATACTCTTTCTGCTTCCTGGAGACCCTTCCCCTCCTCTGCAACCTCTGCTTGTCAAAATCCAACTATCCTTCAAGAGTCATTTCAAATAACTTTTATAAAAAACAAAATCCCCAGGTGAAAATAATTTCTTCGTGTCCTCCATCTTATTTTGAGAGTGCTTTATGGCTTTAAGCACTCTCAAACATGCCCCCACTGTGTACACAAACGTTGGTTTGGCTATCTTGCTCCGCTCCCTCTTTTGCAACTGTCTAGACAGTAGGGACCATTGCCTGCTTTCTTCCCTTGGGCCTCCTGGAGCGATGGCCCTCGCAGATTCCTTTTTAGCAGCCTTCCTATTTACTGGCATTCAGTTGCGGCCATGAGGAGCTGTCTCTTACAAATTCCCTTTCTTTCTCTCTGCAGAGTCGCCCCCCACTATATGACTTGTCTGCTATGAAAGTGCCTACTGCTATTTGGGCTGGTGGACAAGACGTCCTTATAACACCTCAAGATGTGGCCAGGATCCTCCCCCAAATCAGGAATCTTCGTTACTTTAAATTACTGCCGGATTGGAACCACTTTGATTTTGTCTGGGGCCTCGATGCCCCTCGACGGATGTACAGGGACATTATAGCTTTAATGAAGGCATATCTCTAAATGCAATGCCCTGGCTTTTCAGTGAGAAGTTGCTTCTGAGCCCATAAAAGGCTTTAGGAAAGATACTAATGAACAGTGAGGCTGCCCCTTAGTACCCTTGCTGCTGTCCCTGAATGTTCCCTTATCTCAGCATCCCAACTAGGAATTATTTGAAGTGTGCTGCTTTTCCTCTAAGAAATATCTATATCTAAAATCTTAGAATCCCATCCCTTCCATCAGGACTAGGTCCTCTTTTTAATCCAGGTGATGCAGCAAATGTTTCTCTGTTATATGTACAATTAAGAGATTAGTAAATGGGTTTTCTTACCTATTCCCATATGTACCATAAATCACCTTTGTATAAACAATGTCCCCTCCCCATCCTCTTTTTCAAGGATTAAACATAAGCCTGGGAGAGATAGCCTAGAGAGAAAGACTTTCTTGAGGTGAACATTGAGGAATATATTTTGAGTGGCTGTGACCTTGTGGCTTCCCTAATATCACAAGTAGGTCAGTAATCATTATGGTCCTCTGTGAACAACCCAGGAAATAAGCCCTTGCTCACTCACATCAACAGGCATTAAAGAAAACAAAAGAAGAACAGAAAACTAGTAAGATATAAGTATTCCAGGAGCTTGTTTCACTATTGCAAGTTAAAAAATAAAGACAAAATTAGGAAAGGCTAGGATAAGCTGAATTACTAATTATTAAAATTATTCACTATACTCCACTGCCTTTGAAACAGAGTTAAATCAATAAGGCTCTCTAATAATAATGGATGGGAGCTCATTGACAGGAGGCAACCGTCTTAAGTAATAACATGTGAGAAGTAACTCCCTCCTGTTTTTCTTTAAAGAGAAATTAAACTGACGGCCCTTAGGTCTTTATTATTAAAGCAGAATTTGTACTATCGTACTTGTACCCAAGTAACATAAAGCAGCTCCCAGAAAGCTCAATTTAAAACCAGCAAAGGAGGCAGCAGGAATAGCCAAACTCTCACTCGATTTCAGTCTCTAAAAGATGCCAGTTACTGATTCCAGGATTTAGTACGGATTTCAAAGAGTAGACTGAAGTTTTACTGTTTACTGAATGGCATGAACTTGGAAAACTCCTTCACCTTCGAGAAGATATAATTAATAAAAAGACTGTTTATGATTTTCAGGGAATCATGAATAAAGAATATACATACATACCTTTCATAGTTTGTTTAACTTTAAAATAAGTAAATGTGGTTGCAGGCAGGACCAATGTCCTTGAGATGTTGGATACATAATTATTTTTCCATCAATAATCCACAATTCATTATTCTAAGTTCTGAAACTGTCCTCTAAAACTGTTCTTTAGTGTCCTTGAAATGGGGTGAGAATTTAAAAACGCTTGAGTATCAATTTTAAGTACAAACCTTCTATATTTTTATAATGTTTATTTACAAAGATTAGTCTAACTTGGTCACATTTTTTAGCAGCTAATTTCTATTGAGCTTTTCAAAGAGTACCATGTAGCAATATGTTCTTCTAGTGATACTTATCAAATTACCTAAAATTAATCAAATAATTTAACTATGGCAATAAATATAATGGTTATAAATAGATTTGAGAACAACTACCTAACTCTTAGTAAGCATATAATTCAACTAGAAAGAAAGGTATGGCTGTACGAGGTTATCTCTGAACAGGGAAGGAACATCGGACATGAAGTAGTATGTTCTACAGAAACAAAGGGAAGCATTGGTTAGCACAGGAATCTAATGAAGAGGAGGGCAATTAAGGGAACTCCCATGGAATGTGTCTTACTCAGCTATTGCTACAATGCTGCTGGGTAAAAAACAACTGAACAACTCAGGGCCATGCAACAGGAAACATTTATTTTCCGGCCTCACAGGTCTGCAGTTGGGCTGGGGTAGCTCTGCTGCAGGCTAAGATCACCTGGGCTTGGCTCAGAGCTATGGGTTGGGTCCAGATCTGCTCCGCACATCTCTTCGTTTTGGAACCAGCAGCTATAGGGGTTATGTCCTTCATATGACAGCCCCCAAGAGCAGAAGAGAGACAGCTAAACCACACCAGCATATTTAGACCTCTGCTTGCTTCACATCAGCAAACATTCCTTTGTCTCATGCAGCTCCCATAATCAAGCCTGACCCCAGCAGGATGGGACAGTCTGCCTCACCTGCAGTGGTCACATGGCAAAGAATATAGATATAGAATTCATGCAGGAGGGGAGAACTTACCATATCACACACAGGCACAAAATTCAAAAGATAAAAACAGAAAATATTAAAAAAGGAAGTCTCCCTCCTTTCTCTGAATCCCGGTCATGCATTCTCCCTTTCAAAGATAATTTATGTTTACCAGTGTTGTTTTGTGATCCTTCTATAAGCCATGTACAGAGCATTCAAATAGACCCACAGATACTCATTTACTTTTTCACCTAAATGTAGCAAACTGTATATACTTTCTCAAATAATGAGGATGTTGTACTAGGCAAAAGAAATTGACTCACGCTTGCTATATAACAGGGCAATCTGATCTTACTACCTGAAGAGGGCGACTTGACAATTAAAACACAATGTTCTTTGACTTGAAGTTTTAATAGAAGAAAATCTAATTAAGAACAAATAGCAATGACAATTAGTAGTTCAAATTTTTCATGTATATACTACAGTTCAGTGGGGGAGGTACTCTTTTCATTAAATGGAGCTGGAACAATGGGATATACATTTTTTTAATTGCATACAATTCCTCACTTCATACCATACACAATAATCAAAGATGGTAATTCTAAATTTAAACAGTATTATAAAATGGCACTTTTAGAAGATAACATAGAAAATTATGCTCATAACGTGGGATATGAAAAATGTCTTAAAGAGGTCACAAAAAGAAAAAATTCATAAATTATATTCCATTAAAATCAAGAGCTTCTCTTTACCAAGAGAATGTTTAAGAGAGTGAAAATGCAATGCAGGCCACAGAATAGGAGTAGCATGTCTATCCACAAAATGTATACATAGAATATATACATAACACATTTAAATTGATTTTTTATAAAGAGAAAGAACACTACCATAATAGAAAAGGGAAAAAAACGTTTACAAAAGGGAGGATAGTCTAATGTACAATAAACATGAAAAGAACTAGACCTTATTAATCAGAATGATGTAAATTTTTAATCTACAATTAAATGGTCGATTAATGATACCTTCTGGTATGATATCATTCCATACACACCAGAATTGCTGAAAGTATAAAGACCACCAAGTTGGGGTAGATGCAAGCACTTTGGATGTACCTTTGGTGGAAATAAAGGTGATCGTATCCATACTGCAAGACCCTACAGTTTTATTCTTAGGTTTGTATGCAGCAGAAGGGAAAGCAGATGTCACTAGAAGAATTGTAGTAGGCATAGCATCTTTATTCACTATTGTCCAAAACCGGGAATGGCCCAGATGTGCAACAAGAGCAAAATGAATAAATAAAAAGTGGTAAGTTCATACAGTGGCAGACAAAACAGAAACAAGTGGGTGAATATCACAAACATGGTATTCAGTAAGGAAACATAAAGAATACGTATTTGATTATGTTTGACATAGGCTAAATCCATGGCAGTAGAAGCTTTCCAATGCTTACTTCTGGAGGGAGAATTGTGACTTGGAGGGAACATGAGGAGGCCCCTGGGATCCAGAAAATGTCCTAATAAGTGTATGAGACCTGGGTGTTGATTATGATAGTATGTTCATTTTGTGAAAATGTACCAAGCTGCACATGTATGTGTGAATTTTTCTGTTAATGTATATAATATTTAAAGACAAAGTATATATTTTTAAAACTGTAGGATTTTCTGCTTTAAATTAATAGGCTTAGAAGTACAAAAGAAAAGAACAATCTACTGTTACTAATACCACTTTTTTATTTTTTTAATTATTTATTTTTGAGACAGAGTCTCACTCTGTCGCCCTTGGTGCCATGGCATCACAGCTCACAGCAACCTCAAACTCCTGGGCTCAAGTGATTCTCTTGTCTTAGCCTCCCAAGTAGCTGGGACTATAGGCACCCGCTGCAACACCCAGCTATTTTTCTCAAAAAAATGGAGAGGTCTCTCTCTTGCACAGGCTAGTCTCAAACTCTTGAGCTCAAGCAATCCGCCTGTCATGGCCTCCCTGAGCGCTGGGATTACAGGTGTGAGCCATCGCACCCGGCCTAATACCACTTTTTAGTAGGCTGGCTCTGATTATGGTACCAAAGGTATCAACTATCACAGGTTCCAGTAATGACAACTTATTTTATTGCCAGGAGTTCCACTTAAAATACCTTACTTAAAATGTGTAACCCTGTAAGATAGGTACTATGGTCATCTTAATTTTATAGATGAGAAAATTGAGGCACAGGGAATAAAAATGGAATTTATCTAAGACCACACAAGTGAAGGATTCATTATGTTAAGGCAGGACGCCTTACACCCTAGCAGCCGCGCTGCAGCTCATCCTGGTGTAAATGTACTCAAATGGTACACACAGGACAAGGAGATGCTGTGGTCAAGGTCTCATTTGCATTACCCTGGACCAAAAAATACTTTAAAAAATTAAGACAGGAGAGACTGGAGAAATGATTTTGCTTATAAACTCTAAACATAAAATTGAGATGAGGGGATGATTGTTACCAGGGTCAATTATAATACATTTCATTATGTTCTCTGCAATGTCAGGGTCACTGCCAAGTAGCAATTCTTCCTTGATGGGGAATTTGATTACAGATTCATAATGTGAACTTTTGGAACACTTACCAGTGTTTCTCTGTATTTTTCTTAACACTTATGTTATAAAAAGTGAGAAACTCTTGCTTACAACCTTGTAAAAGACTCACCAGGTTACTATAGCTTCTAAAGCCTAACTAAGCCATTGCTGTTTTTTATAAAATAAGGTTAAGTTTAATAATAACCTTAATATCAATCAATAAAAATTCATGTCAAATGTAAATTCTGGCTCTCTGAAGTTTGGTGAATTTCCTTCAGGCAGTGTGACTCAT